GGCCGGCGGCGGCCTGCGAGGGAAGTTTCCTACCGGCCTGGGTGAGCGGTGTGCCCCGCGAGCGGCTCCGCGACTTCCAGCATCACAAACGCGTGGGCAACTACCTCATCGGCAGCAGGAAGCTGGGCGAGGGCTCCTTCGCCAAGGTGCGCGAGGGGCTGCACGTGTTGACCGGAGAGAAGGTGAGCCACCTGGGCGCCAGTCCCTGGCCGGGAGATTTGAGGATCGGGTGGGAGGGGACAGTCAGGGTACTTGCTGAGACCGCTGCGCCCGGAGTCGGTGCACCAACCTCCCCTCCGCCCCTTTTCTGCCTGGCTTTTCAATCGGGTTAGAAGAAAGGTAGAGCCAAGTGCACTTAGGCCTTTCTCAATGGGCGATCTGGGGTCAGCTTCCCAGTTTACCCGTGAAGCCCCCCGCTAAGCCTTTTTGCTCCTCGATGGGCGCCTCCTGGCGGCCACCAGCGCGGGGGTTGGGGGGCTGTGCTCTCCCAACCCGTTGGGACTGGGGATCAATGTAGGCGCAAGGGCTGGAGGATGTGAGCCTTAATGTTGTGGGGCGAGGGGATCGGACAAACTAACATTTGCGGAAGCATAGAGTCTGACCCCTCTCCAGGATCCAGGGGAGAGGAGGTGAGGCACAGCAGGACCCAGGGACATACCTTCTGCCTGTGGGCCAGGGGATGGGGGAGAAGCCAAGCACTTCTCTAGCTTGCAGCAGGGCAAGTTCTTCGTGCTTTAGAGGAGGGTTTTCACATCTTCCCTCACAAACTCACTCCTTCACCGTCAGCCCCTCAACATGTACCCCTCTATCCACCCACCCTTGCCTCTCCTGCATCCCTCTATCACCCGCTCCTCCACCCCAACCATTCTCACCGCCCTTCTTGCATCCCCTCTGCCATCCCTTATTCTTTACCCCTCGATCCCCCCAACTCCTGCAACCCCTGCATGGGGGCTGCAGTAAAGAACAGTGCTTCTGGCAGGTTACCCACTGATACTTTCAGATTTCAGAGGTTCGGTAATACCTAGAAGAGAGCAAAACAAAGGAAAACTCCAGACACCTGGAGGGGCACCCTCTCCAGCCTAGAGGTTGAAGGGTTAAAAATTAACCCTTGCCAGAGAGGCACAGGTAGAGCGAAGGTGTAATTTAGTTCTGTGAGAAGTAATCCAAGGCATGGTGACTTAATTTGGAGGAGAACACTGGGGGCTGGGTCACACGCCAGGCTGGGAAACACCCCAAGTTGTGGTCATTTCAGAATCAAGGCTCCTCCCAGGAAGGGGGATGCTCAGCATTAGTGAGCGACTAGCTCCTGCAAGGCAGGGGCTCAGGAGCTCAGGATTTCCTAACTGAGCAAGTAGCCCAAGAGCAAAACTCTTCCATCCTGTGACCTGTGATCCTTTGGGGCTCCTCAGCCTGTGAGTCCCTGGGAATGCTGGAGTATGGAACCTTTGGTTACAGGGCTCAGATACTCTGCTTGCAGTCTCCAGCCTCACCCTACCTGTTTCATTCCCCTTGCCTCCCCACTTTGTCTTGAAGCCCCATGCATTTGAGTGTAAGTCTCAAGCACCCTTTTAATATGTCCTCTATTCCAGGAGCTGCTCAGAGTGGGTCTCTCCTTTGTTTTAGGTAAGCAGGATTAGAGTAGTTAAAAAAGTGCCTCTTGCCTGAATTTTCACGCAAAAAGGGAGTGTTCAGCATGAACTCACTGAACTGAGAAACTCTTAAAAGAAGAAAAAAAACTCCAAACCTTGTTCTAGTCCAAAGGAACACTTTACTTTTTGATTCATAGTAGAACACATCTCACGTCCGTTCAGGGTGTGCAGATGCCACGAGGCCACAGTTTACTAGCTAATTACATGAGTTCACTTTTTGAGTCCCTGTATAAATTCTATTGGCAAGGGTAGTAGAAGTTTGTTTTCATTTGAAACATATAGGACCCAGACTGGTCATATATATTTCCTCTCTAAATGTAGCAGAAAGAGATGCAGCTTTATGCTGACAGCATAATGGCAAAGATTACAAATGAATTCATTTTGCCGCCCGGGCTACATAGCTTCTCCTGGCTCCTCTCCACTTTCTCTTGTGTTATGCCTCTAGTTTCTCTCCAGTGCATTTTTGCTCCATAACATAAGACTGTTGGCCTTGGCTGAACTGCCTACGGATGTTCTCAGTGCTCAGCCCCTACCCCTTGTGTGCTGGGTCTGGAACTTTGTGCCGGGCCAGGAGTCCCTGGATGGTGCATATGGTTAATACGGTTTCTACTAATAAAAGGTTGGTGGTTTGAGTCCACTGAGAGACGCCTTGGAAAAAAGGCCTAATGGTCTACTTCCTAGGAGCTCTGGTGGTGCTGTGGTAAGGCATTGGGCTACTAACCAAAAGGTGGCAGTTTGAACCAAACAAATGCTCTACTGGAGAAAGATGAGGCAGTCAGCTTCTGTAAAGATTTACAGCCTTGGAAACACTATGGGGGTCACTCTGAGTTGGAATTGACTCGATGGTAGTGGGTGGGTAGGTGGGTCTACTTCCGTCAATGAAAATCAACCTCTGAAAATCCTGTGGAGCACAGTTGTACTCTGATACACATTGGGTCAGCATCAGTTGGAATTGACTTAATGGCAACTGGTTTGGTGCTGAGCCCACTGGGCTCACTAGAATGCAGGATTAGTAATATCCAGATGGAGTCCAAATGAGGGGCCCAGCATCCCTGTGCTCAGACCCCTTTCTCTCCCATCTTGTCTTTCTTAAATGATGACAACTCACATCAACAGTGGGAGGCGATATTAATTGGATGTGCAATTCTTTCACTGGACCAGTTGATTTGACCTAATTAAGGATGGTGGTTCTCAAGGTAGAGGAGGGTGTGGGAGAAAATCTCCTTGGTTTTTCTGATCTGTAGTCTGTAGGTGATGCAAATGGTTAACACGTTCATCTGCTAACAGAAAAGTTGGAGGTTCGAGTCCACTCAGAGGTACCTTGGAAGAAAGGCCAGATGATCTACTTCCAGGAAATAAGCCATTGTAAACCCTATGGAGCACAGTTCTATTATGATACACATGGGGTCACCATGAGTCGGATTGGAGGGAAACTTTTTTCCCCCCTCTTATCTGCTCTTTTCCAGCCATGAGAATCTGTGAGAATCAGGGCTCAAGGTACACAGCAAGTATCATGAGACATTTGGGTTTTAGCTCACTCAATTGCTGGCTTTAAAAAACAATGGGTGTCATTCATAGCACTTATCTCCCAAATCCAACAACTTTAATGCTTAAATAATAGATTTGGATTTTAGCAGTTTGTAGAGATTAAAATTATTATTATTTTTTTTGTGTGTGTGCATGCTTCTCTGCTTGGGAAAGAAGGATCTCTTGAGTTAATGAGTCCCGTCTCCACCCATCCTTGCTTTCAGTTTGGATATTGCCTTCCCAAGGCCAAAACAAAGGTCAAGTCAACCCCAGGTTAATCACAACCTTACATTCTTTTTAAAAGGTGAGCTATTAAGAGAACTTTGGGGCCTGGGGAAGGGTTACTCCCTGGAGCACATTCTTATGGTACTAGGGGAGACCTTGTCAAGTAAAGACCTTTGGGAAGGGATTCATCAAGCCTCAGTGTCCCCAGCTGTGGGAGATGTGAGTGACCCAGGAAGGCCTCAATCCCCCAGTATTTCCTCCTTTCTTGGGGGATATGCTTTTTGGATAACCAAAAAACCAAACTAGTTGCTGTTGTCAAGTTAATCCTGACTCATGGTGCATAAAACTAAAAACAAAAACAAACAAACATAAAACACTGCTGTCAAGTCGATTCCAACTCAGTGATGCTACAGCACAAAGTAAAACTGCCACATAGGATTTCCAAGGCTGTAGATCTTTACAAAAGTAGACTGGCACATCTTCCTCCTGTGGAGTAGCTGGTTGTTTCGAACCACCGAGCTTGGCAATGTGCAGCTGAATGCTTTAACCACTGCTATCATGACTTCTCATGGCACACAGCAGGCTGTTATTACATTTTTAAAAAATTGGTAAAATATATTTGAAGAAAGCTTGGTGTAAAGGAAAGCTTAAGTACATCTTAGGTATAGAGCTGATTGGTAGGCAGAATGTGTTACAGACAAAGCTGCCAAAAGGAAATTCCATTGATACAACTATTACCTTTTGTGATTAAGCCATTCTAGGATGCAAAGTTGGGTACATACAATGATTGGTTAAGATGTTTAAATATCTTGTTCTAACCCTTGGTGAAAAAATAAACCCTGTTTATCACTTTCATTGGTGCTATTTTTGGGCTAAAAATAAGGGTTTCCTGCTTAGTAAGTTGCCAGTAATCATGCTTTGAGTGCGACGATGCCAGATACCTGGAGTGAAGGAGTTACTAAAAATATAATTTACTATGTTGTGAAGTGCAGGAAATATGACTAATTTTACAGGTGGCCTTTCGGCAGGTCTGTTTTTAGAAAATATTTCTGAAACAAACAGGTGCTAAAGCGTCTATTTTCAAGTGTTAGAAATTCAGAGGTAACAGCTCCGAGGAACAAGACATGCTCAGAAAACTGGAAATCCCTATTACTCCTCAGCAGGGACTTCTTGGCAGGAAGGAGGCGTTTGGCAAAAGCACCTGCTCTGAGTGTGACAAGGCAGTGCCTATAATTTCTGAGATTACACGTCTCAGTGGCAGGCACATTCTTTTTGAACTTCCTGCCCTGCCTCACCTTTTTGAAGTACTTGTGAATGATGGAAATTGGCACGTAGGCCTTGAATCTTAGTGCTCATTGAGACTCAGGTCCCATGGACTTCAAAGAGTGCTTTGAGTCAGCACAACAGTTCAGAAGCGTGCCCACAAAGAGGAGTACAACCCTAAATTTTCTCTGCAGGTGTTGAATCACAGGCACAGGGCTTGGTTTCTATACATACAGACTCTGATTCATGGCTATGAGACTCCAGAATTCTGCTCACTGATAAGTGTTCTAGGACAGCGGTCTAGTCATCGATCCCATTTGGTGTGGGGAGTGGCAGCCACGTCCACCTGCAGACGTGGGCAGGCACGAGTTGCCCTCTGTGGGAAGGTGGTTTGGTCAAGAAGTATCATTGCCCCTGCTATGTACAGCCCATTCTTGATTATTCATGGTAACGGAGAGGTCTGTTATCTTGGCTAATTGAAACTCATAGATAATCTCCAAGCTTTATTTTCACTAACC